GCATGTCACTTACACACCGATTATGCCTCTATTGTGTTACCCTTCTTTTCAGTATTTCCTGTGCTAAAATTCTCCTACTAAATGGGAGAAATATTAAAATTTGTGTTTCTCATTATTATTTTTTAATCTTATCTTTCAAGGTTTGATTTCCAGATCAACTTTAGGATTTCCAATCCCACGCAGAAAAAAAACGGATTCCTTATAGTATAATTTTATTGTTGGTCGGTTCGTCGTCGTCGTTTTTCTCAGGAATGAGTAGATGTATCTAGTTTACATAATTTATTTCACATACTAAGGCATACAGTGAACGAAAATTATATAAAAATTCAAGATTCTATGTCTACGTAATAAAAAGACAGTTATATTTTTCATGTTAGCTCACAATACTAAGTAATGTTAAAATGAAAAAACTTTATTTACTTACTACTATAGCTGTACTGACTACCTCTTCGTAAATGGATACTATAGCCCATGCACATAACGTGAATCAAACCCTTAGAAATGATTTACAAAGCCGCAACTGCATTATACCTGTTACTGTTAAACGGCTGTCCCATCTCTCAAACCGGAACGTGACTTTGCAACAGCTCAATACAACATGTAACATAATTAACGCACACCCTGAAAGTAATTTGTTCAGAATCGGAATCTGGATCGATTTTGATTGTTTTTTATGTACCAAATTTTTTTTCTAAAATTTAGTTAAAACTAAGTAAATTACAGTCACCCTACACAGCTAGCTAAACAGTTCATAGAAACGAAAATGGAACGTAAGTCAGGGTATTAAGACTTTTTAAAATGAAATATCTAATTAGTAAAAAAAAATATTATTTAATTAAAGAAATCTGATACTTATTTCAAGGCTAATAGTCTATTACAAAATAAAATACCTACGCACACAATACCAACCGCCGGCACACAGCAACACTACAATACATAAAAGAAAACCACGTAATACAAAAATAATTACTATCCCTTTCTTTCGTCGGCATAATATTCTTACAATAAACGGCAGGCTAATCCCGATGTTCGCGGCGACGCGGTTGCGTCGGCGGTGATCAAAGAAAAATCTAAACAACGAAGTCAACAAAATATTTTTGACAAGTCAGTCACGCCGCGTCCACCTTATCGATAAGAGGTCAAGTGATAGTGCAAATAAAATATCTCCCGTATTTCGCTATGTCTTTTCGGTCAGTGACCTCCTAGATCAGCTGATTTGACGCCTCTCGACTTTTTTTTGTGGGGGCGAATTAAATCGCTAGTTTATAACACACAGACAATAAGTGCCGAAGAACTAAAGAATAAGATAATAACCGCCTTTGATAAAGTGAAAAGTGACATTGCAGTATTATCTAAAATAAAACAACAAATACGAAAACGGTCATTAAAGTGCATTGCACAAGGGGCGCGGCGGCGAGTGTGTACATGTGTCTGTGTGTGCGTGCGCAGCGGAGTGTGAATCGGTGACCATTTTATTTCCACGAAATTGGAATAACTAATTTCACAAATAATCAATGTTAACGCACATATAAATAATATTGGGTGTATGCATAGCGTTTATATTATTAAAGTCTAATTGGGGTGTTTGAGGGTGTGCGTTAAATATGTTACATGTTGTATAACACTTCAGTTAGTGGAATATGGTAACTTAAGTTTCAAAGTGTGATAGTAAGATTTATTAGATTAAATTGTCTCTACAGTCGTATACTCAGAACAGAGTAGTTGTAATAATATGTTTGTTGGTTGTTTTACACACTCGTTACTCCAGCTTTTGTTACTTTTTTGTTGATTAAACTATAATATACTAGCAACCCGCCCTCGCTTCGCTTCGGAAGCTGTAATTTATTATTGATTTCTCCACTATGTAATGGATGTTATTATACATATAAACCTTCCTCTTCAATCACTCTATCTATTTAAAAAAACCGCATCAAAATCCGTTGCGTAGTTTTAAAGATTTAAGCATACATAGGGATATAGGGACAGAGAAAGCGACTTTGTTTTATACTATGTAGTGATGAAGAAAAATGCGAATGATTTAGGAAACTAAAAGATTACAATCAGCCAGCTGGCGATTCAAGAAGACTCAAAACAAGTGAAACATATACAATAGGTGTAAACACTAATGTTGTTGCGATCAAAGTGATGAAAAAAGACATGTCTATCGTTTGATTTATTACAACGAGACGAGGCATGACACATAATTTCCTTGTGAACTATTTTATGATGTAAATTTACTCAATAAAAAAATCAGACATTGTTTGTAGTATGATGTACATATTTATGTTATTAATCTTACACTGTTAGATTTTCCTGGTAAATGTTCATTTTAAACGATATGACATTAGTTAATTTTTGATGACCGTGTGTATCAATCAACTGATAGGTAGATAGTTATTTTTCATCTGTAGTTGTTTGTAGTAGTGATACAATTTATTGATTGTATATTTGTTATGTACATCACAGCTGTTGCCAGAGGTTTCACTCCCTTTACATCAGATATTAATATAGTCTAGACTCTCGAGTATGCTAATGAAATCATAACGTGATTCAAGAAAAAGGCATACCGCCATCTAACGAGGATTAGTATAAACTTTTTACATTTTCCGCCTATACTTTATCCCTCATTGCACACTTATGAAGGGTGAATTTCTAATCGGTACGATATTATGTGTGATTCCGTTAGGTGGCGTATAAGGGAGTGCAAAATTAATTGCATTAAGAGATAATTAAAAAAATTGTTGCTTTGCTAACTTTTAAAATAGTCTGTATAACTATTTTTTTAAATTACCATATAATGTCATTTCGATTTGATAACATTACCCCCGATCACCCTCTTCGGCCAGTAAACACTTTAGGCCAAGAAGGACAAGCATCTGAGATTGATCCCCGATAACTCCATGATCTTCTATTCAAACTTCAAGAAATTTGCATTTAATCATGACTTATATGGACTATATTATTCACTCAAGAAGTTGGTAATTGCATAAATGCCCCCGTTGCAATCCCAGTTTTCTAATCTAGGCATCGGAGCATCATAATGAATAATCGGAGCACTTAGGAAATTAGATATTCACGGTGATCTAGGTCTCGACCCCATCCGAAAGTATATGAAGATAGTGTCGGAACGCTACTTTTCGAATAATCCCTAATCGTGGCTGCTTAATCCGACCCAAACAGGAGCCAGTCAACGTCACCATCGAAGAGTTCGACATGATCCTTGGCCTATAACATCAACCCACTGACAAAATTCCAACTCTCCTAGCTAATACCGAAGCTCAAACTCAAACCATCCTGGTACAGCTAGGAAGGTCTCTCGGCGACTAGTAATCCTCTCCATCCCACGAAAACAAGGTTTAATTTTAAGTTTACGACATAAATTTACAGTTTGAAAGGTTTCGAATAGGTATGCCCTTTGCAGTTTTATAAATTGTGTTATTGGCCTAATAAACGCGATTTATAACAATAGTGCTTTTAATTATATTTACGGCTCGGGAAAACCTTTAGAAATATAGTAATGGCAAATTAACCGTAACTTATTATAATTTTTACCATATTAAATATGTTTAATAACCCTATGCCCTAAGGCATCCGATAATGGAAACATGTCTTTCCCGAAAATCACATTGGAAATGACTTTCACATCGACTTAAGTAAATAAAATTTAAGTAACTGTTTGTAATGTCAACTTAATAACGTTTTTTTTTTATTGCTTAGATGGTTGGACGAGCTCACAGCCCACCTGGTGTTAAGTGGTTACTGGAGCCCATAGACATCTACAACGTAAATGCGCCACCCACCTTGAGATATAAGTTCTAAGTTCTCAGTATAGTTACAACGGCTACCCCACCCTTCAAACCGAAACGCATTACTGCTTCACGGTAGAAATAGGCAGGGTGGTGGTACCTACCCGTGCGGACTCACAAAAGGTCCTACCACCAGTATAATAATAATATTTAGTAATATTTAGAAACAAATTTTTCGGATTATAACGACGATTTATATGAGGTAAACATGGGTGCGCGTTTGCGATAGCGGTCGACTTAGTTGGCTTTGCCGATGTCCGTGACATTGAAACGCAGTTCGAGTAGGTATATTAATATTTTTTTTAAGGAAATGAAACGGCCCGCTAGTAATTTTCCTACGTAGACGGGATTTCTGATGTAATGACCAACCACATCGTACGCAGGTCGTACTTTTATTGATGTGAATATAAATTTTAAATATTTCTAAGCGACTCTTTATTGCATTGTACATATATAGATAGCTATCTGCCAGTATAATTGTTATTAAATTCAGGACAGCCGTTTTAAGAGATGAGAATAATTTGCATTTTCTGGGAATATAATAAAAAGCTGTCATTTTGATATTACAAACAGACAAGTCAATTATATCTATTTATGTAGTTTACTATTCTACTTGTAATAGAACTCGATAATACGCCAAAGTATCAACCCACTGAGTTTCTCACGGTATCTTCTCGGTGGGTCTCGATTCTAAGCAGGTGGAATATTCAACGAAGCACTGCTCCTGCTGAGGGCCAGTGTTAACAAAGTCTCTCAGGCTGAGCCCTATGAGCTCGCCCGGAGAAGCTTGAATAGCCCCTCGAGGCTACCAGAGATTTGGTAGGAAACAAAAAGGGCATGATATAACGCTAAAACTAAACTCGAAACTTGTAACTAGTAGGGTAAGTTGATGCAAAATGGTTCATTAATTTACCACTTCATAAATTATAGTTATTTGTATGAACTGACTTTAAAATTTCTTTTTTTTTAAAGTAAGCACTTTTTAAAATTTATAATAGAGACGAGAAACATATGCTGAAATATTCATGATAATGATAGTATGACTGATTAAGAATGTTAATAACACGTATACAGTCTACAATGACACATGACTTAGGTTGTCCGTGACTGATATCTTCGAGGTAAGTAGGAGGCGGCCTTGGGGCCAAGTGTCATCATGGCGGTTAAATACTGGTCAGCACGCTATACACTCACCTTGGCCATGTGTTCTCGCCGAGGACTTTCCCATGTCGGCCGCACCATCGACACACATATACACTTACACTCGCTCGAGACACAACACTGACACTGTGCGTAACTATAATTATAGGTCGGTGTAAAAGAGGCGTAGGAAACTTTATACGTTATATAATTGAAGGGCACTTGAGGGTTATATTGGGTCTTCTACGGTGTAAGAGATGGTAGGGCGTTAAGAGGAACGGAGGACCGCGCGGCGCGATCGGCATCCTGTGCTCCAACTCTGCACTTCGCTTTCCTGCAACAAACACGAAGAACGATCAATTAAATAACGTGTGACCTGAATTCCGACTGAAAAGCATTTGAATAATTAGGTGGATTTGTTCGGACCATTTCAGTTTTAGATTGGCATAAATAATTATAAAAACTAGTATTAGTATTTGGACAAATAAAACAGAGCAAAGGTATAGATGCTACTTTTTTTGAATAACAACATTATATTCAATGCAACTAATATTTAACAATTGTTACGATTGCACAATTAACGATGATTGTGAGAATCGAAATGCGTGTATCGATAGATGTCACGACAAGCTATCATAAATGCCTTATTAAAACCACTTGTCTTTAATTGAGTACTGATGTTACTTTGTATATTCGTTGAATTTAGTGCAAAAAGCTGAAATGACATGAAAAAGTTATGAAAAACGTGGTAAACTATGTGGAAATTTTCAACCACGTTTTAAATTGTCGTAATTGTATTCCACATCATAAATAGTATTTAAATACATGTATTCTTTAAATATTGTAAACGAAGTTACAACAACATGCTGAGGGTTTTCAAAATAATTTTAGACTTAAGCGACATATTTATTCCAGAGATAATCGTTTTTTAAGGAAAACAATAATCCTTATATTTTTTTATATCGGCCCAACATTTATAATTATTAATTATTAATTCTTAGTGTAAATAATCAGATGTACTGTACATAAAATTTCCCAATATTATCTCCTAAGGAGGGTAATAGAGTGTAAATATTGTGTATGAAAAATTTTTTTTTTCGAATATCTTGAAGTGGAGTATTAATATTCCTTAAAATAAATAACTAGACGTATTTCACATAATTTCAAATTCACTTCTATAATGGTGGGATGAATCTTGTCTTGGATACATTAGGAGGCTTATTGTCTTATGGTATATTGTATTCTTCTATAATACTTTTTTTTCACACGGAAAGCGGGTAAAGCCTTTGACAACAAGCTGGTTTAGTAATACATGTATTTACAAGAAAATTATCTCATTTTCGTACGTTTATGAGTATATCAGTAACGCGTCACGCCTACATGTCCGTAGATTACTTGCTTTGAAGCCCATAATTAAAGCAAACGAAATAACAGACACTGGTGTCACGGTGACATCATATATTTTATAGTTTAGGCCTTGAGAGCCTATCAATGCCAGGAACTTGTGTCGAATCCAAAGATTTAAGCACATTGATATTTGTTTTAGGAGATTTCGTTATTTTATAGTTCAACGATTCGGGTTTTTTTTTATTGCTTAGATGGGTGGACGAGCTCACAGCCCACCTGGTGTTAAGTGGTTACTGGAGCCCATAGACATCTACAACGTAAATGCGCCACCCACCTTGAGATATAAGTTCTAAGGTCTCAAGTATAGTTACAATGGCTGCCTCACCCTTCAAACCTAAACGCATTACTGCTTCACGGCAGAAATAGATGGGGCGGTGGTACCTACCCATGCGGACTCACAAGAGGTCCTACCACCAGTAATTACGCAAATTACAATTTTTGCGGGTTTGATTTTTATTACACGATGTTATTCCTTCACCGTGGAAATCAAACGTGAACATTTGTTGAGTACGTATTTCATTAGAAAAATTGGTACCCGCCTGAGATTCGAACACCGGTGCATCGGTCAACACGAATGCACTGGACGTCTTATCCGTTAGGCCACGATGACTTTTTTAATCTATTGCCGAACGATCCTCAATCTTAATAAATCTCAACATCTCTAATTAAACACTTTTGCTTTTATTGACTAATCAATATCCAAACATACAAACAATACCAACATTCTCATATTTATTACAAACTTTCTGTAGATTAATACTGACATGTCGTGAGTTGCGATTGTTATAGTTCAGTGATGTCTGTTTCTGAATAACCTAATGTAATATGTATTTCGGACCTACTTGGCTTATAACGATCAAATAACAAAAAACAGTTCATTCACCTCTTTTCATGTTTATTAACCCCAGTTTCCCGTTTACTTTATTCTTCATACCATCTATATGACAATTTAATAGTTATTCATATCAGATTCACTATTTTACTTCTTTGGTGCTTCCTATCTTTGACAACGCAGACATGTGCTATGCTGTTCCAATAGAGGAACAATTAACAGGATGGAGTGCCTTCTGAATCTATGCATTCACTCACACTAGGTGGACTGTGGTGTGGTGGTGCTCAGCAGTTTGTAATAAAACTACTTTTCGTCATATTCATGTACTTACTTCCGAACACATGCATATATTCTTTAGTGCTTATTATTTATGAAGTACTAAGCTTCCTTGGTAGCGCGTATGAAGAAAGGTCTCATGTACACCATTACACATATTCATAATAGCAAATAATGGGAATACTTCATATACGAGTATGTACTTCATTAACATCTGAGAAAATGATCTTTTATCATCCGCAGCCGATATGGGTCAAAACCAATTAGCAATTTTGTACAATTACATATTATTACAATTATATATTATAAAACGTTACTTAGTTGATGTTCGACTTGATATAGCTGACATCAAAGTTTTAATGTGGATTGTGTAACTATCCATCATTTGTTAACTGACATTTCAAATAATGCCGGTCGATAAAAACTGTATTGTATTGTATTGAACTATAAAAACTGAGGCGTAAGAACTCATGTCTCGAGGTGGGTGGCGGCATTTACGTAGTAGGTATGTGGGCTCCGGTAACCACTTAACACTAGGTGGGCCGTGAGCTCGTCCACCCATCTGAGCAATAAAAAAAAACAATTCGACATGCTTCCAGCTATCCGTTAAGGAAATACCTATTCAAAAATGTTCATTACTGTACTTTTTGTGTTTATCGCCAGTTCCAAAAAGAGCTGTAGTCCTGAGAAGTAACATCGAAAAATAATAATTACATAATAACATTAACGATTTCATGAATTTAAATTATAATTAAAATCTAGTACTAGATTTAATAAAGCCCAACACTTTATGAAAACCACATGACAATAGTCCGGAGCGGATAGGAGCGGAGTACATCCCTATTAAATGGAATCGGTGCATTCACAATGATCATTATTGCAACGTACTATCCGGCTTTGAAATTAACCCCCACCCGCTATGCTTCCTGGGCACTGACACATCCTCCAAACGATATTTAAAGAGCACTTCTCATTAGACAAACTTGGCTCTTGGCACTATCACCATGTCTGAAGGTAATCACGAAATAACAGATAGGTCGTTTGCCATTGATCGTAAAAAGCTGCCGATATTCTGAGTGGCAGCCAGTTCACCCAAATAACAAACTAAAAAGGGGTAGAATGTTTTCTCTGCTGCTTAGGAGAGCCTAAAAGCATCACGAGTGGATTCGACAAGACATGTTTTGGGCGAGGGCAGCTTTACGTTGCCCCGTCAGCTGGGTCGGATATGTTGTTAGTGACGGCCACGTTAAGGGATCTACCGTGACGTGCCGCTTTTTCGAAGGAGCAACAGCGAAGACGCTGTCTTCATCGGTTCTAAATAGAGATCGTCGTAAAAGATAACACGATCCGCCAACATTAAATCTTGATAAAGACTATTTGTAGTGTAAACTGCTGTACCACCATTGTAATTTCCAATTTAATTAAACTAAAAAGAAACAAACATTTAGAACACAAACGGAGATATGATGAGATGAGAGAGAATGTTTCTGAAAATTTAATTTCTACCGCGTGTGATCTGTACTGCACACGTATTTTATTTAACAAAATGTTCCTTATCGTAGAAGAGATAACTAAATTACGTGAAATTTATCATTAACACGTGTTTTAGCATTAGTCGTTCTGTCATCCTGAGTAAGATAGCGGTTATGGTCATGTTGTTCTAAGACTAATGTAATATTTATTTCTGTATGTGTCAAGACGTATTACTTATTACATTTTAAGAATAGGGAGAAGCTTTACCGAACTTATAGCTTATCAATATAATCATAAAATACGTGCGAAGGATCTATTATCTTTAAAATTTATTCGTTATTTAAATGAAGGAAGAATTGATATAATATAATCAAAATCGTAATTTTTTTTAACATTGCTTAATAAGAAAGAACTTCATTCAAGTAACATGCTCAAATCTCTTGTTATGGGATGATTTTTAATTTTACTCTAATTACCACACCGGGTATCATACTGGTAATAAACAGCCAACAAACTGGCAATAAAAAAGGCAAATACATATCAGGTCACTGTACAAGAATCAGCATCTGTGCGCATTTTTTTTTGTATTTAACTTTGTCAATATTGGGAAAATATAAACACAGGACATTTTAAATTGACCCCGAGGTTCATTAGGTATAATATAATAAGTGCTTTCTCGAAATTACCTCTGCGGTATGTGAAAACGTGCGCATAGCTTTAGAATCTGGCTTAACGGGTCTAACTTTGAATAGAACTTATTAAATAGATCACAGGTTCTGTTTGTAAGATTCGATGAATTCAGTCTACAGTTTCAATAAGCTATATGCCATATTTCCAAATGCTAGAATTTTCTGCGAATTTTCATCCGAACGTCTAATACATAAAACAAAACATACCGACGGACTGGGGTAGCAGTTAAGCCTTGTTCGGACTAGGCGAGTATTTTAGTCGAGTACCGAATAATTTAGTGGCTAAACTACTCTCTACTCGCCCGAAAAAATAGAACAAAATGGATTGACTTGACTAAATTATTTACTAACCTACTCGACTAAATTTTTAGTGCTCAGACACATTTAGCTACTAAATTACTGGGTACTCGACTAAAATACTCGCCTAGTCCGAACAAGGCTTTAGGGTCACTACCTAGAACGAGGCGAGCGCTATATCGAATTAAAAAGTTGGCTAACATAATATTTCGAATGATTAACTACTATTACCAATCAATCACAAAAGTTAAGAATTAATCGGGAGTATTTAATTTACTATTATATAACATCATTATAAAGCGGTTTAATTTCATTTACAGTTTAAAAAATTAATTATAACAAAATAACAAAATAAAAAATAACATTATAAAAATATTATAATGTATCTTTAGTCAAATCTTAAAAATTTAAGAAAACGGTATAGTAATCGTTTGAATAAAATAGAAGTTATTAAATGAATAATAGTTTCTTTGATGAAGTAATTGAAGGTGAGAAATGTACGATTAATTTCTTCATAAGTGGAATTTTATTTTAAAACTACTTATATTAAAATATGTTCAGATTTTTATTCGATTTTATTATGAGATTATTCGCTCGCTCGTCACAGTTAGAATATAGAGTTTTAAAATATTTTTATTTAATTTAAATTAAGCCGTGAAATCTCATCGTGACAATGTCTGTAAATTGACATTTTTCTTACCCTATTAAAGTGGATTTATTAGAAAATAAAATATCTTATATAGACATTTCGAGTAGTACTAAATTTTGTAGTACATACTACTCGAGTATAGACATTTTCATATTCTAAATGTGAAGACCGAGAAATAATATCATAATAAAAAATTTGAAACAGTCAAAAGAATATGGTTAATAAAAAAACTCACATTATGAAACTCTGATTTTTACCAGATCAACCTCAGCAATCCAATTCTCGCTTAAATCATGTAAAAAACACGTCACATTCACATCACGAAACTAATTCATAAAAATACTTATTCGAGAGTAAGTCTTCAATATAAGGCACTTTAATTATACGTAAACTAAGTCACATTAATTGATATTATACGGTGTCGTTTTTTGTATACTGATGTAAATGTTAAAATATATCCACCGTAAAAACGTGTGTCTCCCAGCGGCGAACGAAACGCACTGTTTTGATAGTGTAGCGTACCTACGTAACATCAAAAGGCAAGGCGAGGCGAGGCGATCCTCACCAAAGCAGGCCAACAATATAACTTTCATTGTTAATTTCGTTTTTTTTCTGTCCAACGCTGGTTTTATACCGCTAAACGAATTAAAATAGTACGAAACAAACCATTCAACGGCGTTTGGATTTTTTTCTCCCAAGGACGTCTGCACTAAGTATCTCAGATTAAATCTAAAAACAACGAATACTCGACGGAAAAGTAAAAACTTGTTATCCTTAACTTACTTATTATTGAAGTTTTGTTACCCATTTAATTTCGAGTTTATTACGTTTTGGCTTTGAAAACATAGTCAAGGTAATAAAGTAATAAAGCTTTCGCTTATGAATAATAAGTAGAACCCTTGAATTTACTATCTAATGTAATTGGGCTTTTATTTAATAGTATTATCTATTAATGTATGGTTTGATTGAAGCTGCAAAAATTAATTAAAAATGTGTACAAAACTGAAAGTACTCGTTAATCGATTTATACGGGCGCATGCAACTTACGCGCAATCTATATATTAATACGTGAAGCAAAAACTTTGTATCCCTTTTTACGAAAATTGCACGGACGGAGGAGTATGAAATTTTCCAGACTTATAGAGAATATAGAGAAGGAGTGCACAATGCTAATATTTTTTTAAAATAATGCATAAAAATACATTAAATCAATAAAGAAAACATTACACACACTACATACCATGTATTTGAGGCACACACATGCATACAATTTATTGTCAAACTTTTGTTCTTGACGTCTGTTGTCAAATTGAGAATAGATTAAATATTGTATGTGTTTGTTAATATATTTTATAATGTAGTCTTGGTGAAATTTGTGATTATAGAAGTATAAAATACAATCATAATAGTGTACAAACTTACAATTCCAATTAATTATAGTCGAATTTCGACTACTGCGGGACCTCTAGTTCATTATAGTTTTTTGACAAATCCATCGGAACACTGTATTGTGTATTTCCCAGACATTCAAACAAAAGTTTCGTTTATTATGCTATGTGTCTTGGAAAAAAAACGTACAAGCATTAGTAGACCGAGGCTGATGACGACATCCCCGTACGCATCGAGGACATCTGCACCAGCCGCACTGTAGCACCGATGAGTGCTCTTGCGCAACTAAGCCGCTTGAATGGTAGCTATAGCTTGCCGGCTAATTGAAGACATCGCGTTTTTTTTTCCTAAGCTAAATTGCCTTGAGAGGCTATTTCAACATAACCTTAACTAGTAGGTGAGCTCACAAGGCTCAAACCGGAGTGATGCTAAAACTGACCCTAGCAAGAGCAGTGCTTCGCGGAATCTACCACCGGATCGGAAACGCGACCCACTGAGAAGATCGGGCGAGAAACTCAGTGGGCTGTGTCTATGAGTTAATTCGCTCGTCGAGCCCTTCGTCGGAAGCGACGGATTCGACGAGGACTGTGATCGGTGCCTGTGGTACCTAAAAGCACCGTTAGTGGATCGGGAGGATCCGTAATGACGTGTTTTGGGCGAAGTCGACTGTTTCCCATTCGGTCTACAGGATCGGGTATGAAGATATCATATGGCTATTTAAGAAAACACCATCCTGTACGTATCATATCGTTCTATACACAATATCAATTTAAATTATTTAATTCAAACGCTTTATAGTGATTTATTAAACAATAATTATTCAGATTTATATTCGTATTATACTCCTTAAACTACAGTGTGTATGTTTAGGAATTACCTAATTTCTGACTGACTTTCATATACATCTAATACATTAAAACAGCAGCACAGTGTGCGAATGCGTCACGTAAAGAATGGAGAGCGGCAGTTAAAAACGTTATTTATGGCAGTTGTAAATCAAATAATAATATCTTAACTGTAACGTATTTAATCTTTCATACCCGGTTTCCATAATTTTAGTAAATTACTTCCAAACTAAATATTTCTTAAAATTCAAGTCAACTTTACGAACTTACATGTAAGTCATATCGACACAAGCCTGGAACTCTATTTTTATTGGTGACAATTCATTATGATTTTATTTAACTCGTTATAGTGTTTTTAAACTGATAAAGATAATTTATGGTTTTGATTTAGAATTTATTTGCACTGTAGGCATTTTTCGATATGCGTGAGATTAAAAATAAAATTATGAATAATCCAGGAAAAAAGTCACGCACCTTGGCAATGTTCCAACAATATACTAGTTTTTCACTTGGTCACTCGGAAAAAAATGAATGGTTTTGGCAGTTCATATTGACAGTTATATTGATATAAAAAAAAAATACTTTATTCAATCAGCACAATATGAATAATTCATGGACGAAAGTTACTACCTAAATAGGGATGCCTGATATTTTATTATTTAGGATCGAAAATTATCAAATTTGATAGTGGGAGTAATTGTCCAATAATAAAATAAAGTGATGTCTATGGAAACCGGCCTAAAAATCGTAGCTAAAAAAAGGAAAAAAATGTAAATGTTCCTTATTAGATCTTTAAAATATTGTCATAGAGGGCTCTAATTTAATACATTGCCTTAATAATTATGTTGAGTATATTAATTAAAACAACATTTACGGTTTAACCTTACATATTTATTTTTCATTTTATTCTTTCCGACGTTTAAATTTTGTGCTACATACCGTCTAATATTCTTTTTTTTTCCTTTTTATTAGAGCCATACACCTATTAGGTTAAGTCGGCTCCGTCTAATATTCTTAAAGTATTATTTCTTGACCTTTACGTTTTTTGCACACATATCGACCTAACTGTATCTTGAAGTCTGGCAGTTATTTGTCTTAGGTTTCCATATTCACGATAAGAGGTTTTTAGATATTAGATAAGCACCAATTATTTTCTCTATTGATGTTAGGGTTTGTTTTTCAATAGCCATACGTGGCATTAAGTTCTTCTCTTTAGCGATTTATTGAATTTAGACAAATCATATACATGGTTTGGTATACCTATCTGTTCAGAACATCCTGGTGAATTGTAAACGAAAACTGTAAGCTTTCAATGATAAATCCGCCCAATTGTACTTTAGTTTCAAGTTAAATTTTCTCATTCACATTTTCTGTGTATTTTCGTTATTTTGGGGTATGTTAGCGCTATCTAAGCAGAATATTTCAAAATTATCGAGACATATTGGTATCTGACAATAGATGACACCTATACACACAGCCCACTGAGTTTCTCGCCGGATTTTCTCAGTGGGTCACGAATCCGATCCGATGGTAGATTCTGAAAAGCACTGCCCTTGCGAAGGCTAGTAAATTATCTAGCACTATATAAGACTAGCAAATTAGACTAGCTATAAGACTAGCAAATTATCTCAGATTGAGCCCGTGAGTTTATCTACCCGTACGGGCGTAGCTGGAATAGCCTCTTATGCTACCAACGAAAAAATAGGGGGGGAAAAGATGACGCTACGTGTATTATTCGTGAAGCATGATTTATCTTCAAGATTTTCTTTAATCAATTACTTACTAATATAAATAGATATGAATTTAGGCACATACATGCGTGCTTTCAGTATTATAAGCGATGCGTTTATTTATAATCCTTTAATGACACTGAACAAAAGTAAAATACAGTCGCTCGTCGGACGGATTACATGCAATTTTTTTATGATCCTAAAGTTATATTTTATTCAAATTTGCATAAAAAACTACTAACGGTTGAGACGCATGTTAAGTTATTATGGCCATCGTTGTTCACTTCTATAGTGCCATGCATGATTCTTATATTAGGTAAGTTACAGAAAACCAATATCCTTAAGTAATCGTATCGCAATTTATATAGGCAAAACGTTACATTGGATCGAATGTATTTAGGGTTAAACGTACAGATTGACCTATCTACGCATGCTTTCGATATAAATAAAGTCTTAAGTCCAACATGCAAGGTTTATTTTATCCCGGTTTCGCACAATTCCGTGTCCCACTTTTAGCAACATTAAAGCTTAGTCGTAGCCATGATTGAGTTAGGCGTGGCACCCATCACGAGTATGCGGTCACCCCACTAAAATATAGGACAAGACCTAACCCGTAAGGGGAAACGAAGTGATTCGACATTGATAGGGTTCGAAATCTTGGTAAAATATAATACCGAGGAAAAACAATAATGAAATATTTGGTATATTATTATCTAATTAATAATTATTATTTATATTAATTATTAATATTCATTATTAATTTAATATATCTATTTATGTATATATGCTACAAATATTGACACATGAAAATGTTTTATGATTAAATGCTAGACTACACCTTGTGTTGATTCCCATGACTAGTTGTCAGAACGAGAACTAATTCTTCATAATTTATTTAAAGCATCGTTGTGTATAACTTTACATGTAAGCCTTGATTACTTTAAAACGAACAAGTTTCTAGAACTTCGATTAATTTAACGTTCCCTTTCACGATGACCTTTTCCTTTATAGTGTTTCATGTTTTTTACATGTGTTTATTCCTTCGATTTGTTTACATTCGGGTCAAAGGTAAACATTCGATTTGATTTCAGCAAATACTGTCCACATGTACGACAGACCTTCGTGCAAACGGCCTTCATAAAGACAATCGACTTCCGTATTTAGGTCACGTTTACTCCAAACTAACCAAATCGTCCATCAGCGCTAGACAGTCTCACAATAAAGTATGAAAGCACAATATTGTTCTTTTGAATCTTGACAGTTATAATGCGGAAATCCATTTGTCTTTTCGGCTGTGTGATTTTGCTATTTTACACGGTTTAATGGATATTGCAATTGTGCATTAACTAAAATCGTAACATTCATATTTAAAATTTGTGTTTTTTTTTGCAAATACTACGAGTATGTATTCTGTGTGGTTTTTTTTTAAATTAAATTTATTGCAATGATAGAATATTAAATAACTCTGTACGAACCTGAAGCACGATCGGCAGGGCGGCCTACAGACCGATAGCCATTACTGCCATAGTGATCACCTG